ATTGCTATCATCGCTCGTCGGTATCGCCACAGGCGGACTAGTTAGTCATTCCGCGCCCTCCGTACTCTAGGAATTAGCGGTGCCCAGAGCAGGACCCCACCAGTATAATAACTGTAATCTGATTACAACGCCTTGTCTGTGTTGAGTTGCCAGATCGTTTCCCAAGTAACATGCACCGATATGAAACGGTGTTAAGTGGCGTATACATCGATTCAGTACTACATGTGTAAGGTATCACCCTCCCAAGGCCTCGACATAATCAAGTTCAGCTGCATGGCCCTTCACTGCTGCACTTTCCGCAACGTCAAATACTATACGCTTGGTGACCAGAACCTGGGAGTATTTTTAAAGTGTGGAAGACAGGGTCTTGGGTACATAAGAGTTTTTCTGTGTCCAGGATCCTGGTTTGTCTAGAGGGGATTGCTCGGTTGGCGGCCCGCATGGCCAAATAGCCAGTCTGGTGGATAGGGTTCATCTGGATACAAAGTGCATTCACCTACACCCCCCCTCCTCACCTCCACGGCTGGTCTTTCACACCGGGATTTGTAGCGCTGACGTCTGTCTAAATTGTTTAACGGTCCACTACATCGGACAGACGGCTTAGAATGTGTACCCGCCAACTTTGCAACGTTTCTGAAGTTACTTACTCTTGTCGAGAGAACGTGCAATGTCAAAGTACTGTGTGATCTGAGGCAGCTTTGCTTAAACCCTCGTCATTGGTACTTTTGTAATTCTTTAGTTTACCATTGCAATGTGTGAGTACTGGGTAGTTTGTACACGGTATTCAGAAAGTCCCCTTAATGCATCTCACTACTGAGTGGTTAAATGTGATGATATATGGCCAAGTTCCCACCGTCGCCTCGCTCCGCTGTGACTTGTCAGCCTGGTAGCTTCGTGTTTTCTTTAATCTGGGTGTCAAGTTGACAGGTACTACAGAGACTACACGGTAAAGTAGGGCGGCCATTAGCGTCCAGAGAGAGTCCTCGCTTGTGGGGAAAAGGGTCAGGCTGGCGGAAAAGTGGACACGGAGGAGGCTGGGCGCTTGGGAGGACGGAATCCACCTGGGAGGCTGCCTAATAGAAATCGTCTAGACCACTACAACCAGGGCCCCACTTAAAACAACTATTCAAGGCACGGTGTGGGAACGGGAAAGAACTAGGCAGGGAAAATCGCAGGCATGCCTGTACCGTGTCCGAGAATTAGATTGAGAATGTTAGCAAATATACCTCGCATGTGGAACGGATTTTCAGGCGAGTGGATGTGTTGATTTGTTGGGGGAATAGTCTGTCAGTTGTCTTTGCGTTGTGGAAACACGAGTGCAGATGAAGCAAACAGGTAAACCAGACTGTATACCGTGCTGTAATATTGCAGTCTGGTCCTGTATGTCAGGACAAGGTGTCGTCCTATTTGCCCAGCGTCTCGGCGGCAGCTTGAAGCTTTCAGGAGCGATAGAAGTGTCAATCAGGACAGAGGTCTTACGCGGTCTAGTTGTTTTATTAACCTGTGCCACCTCCCACATATTGCTGCACTGGCCCCGGCAATACCGGCGATATCCACACCTCTGCTGGGAGCTCACCCCGTGTTCTGAACCGCGCCATTCCAAATACTTCGCCTCAACTTTGACACCAACCCGTGCCTCACACCAAATTCTCTTAATTTTCACCCAATTTCGCAGCAATTTCGGCGCTAATCGGAGCTCTTGACAAGAGACACGGATTTTAAGGCTGTTAATCCCAAGTTGAAGTTCTCGTCGGTATTAAGTCCGCCGGTGGGTGATGTTGACGCCGGCTTGTCCGTTTCATCTGTCAATCATGTTGTCCGCCATCTCCGTCAGCGCTCCTCCTGTTCTCGGCGAGCAAAGCTCTAGCCTCCTACCATCAAACGGTCAAGCTTATTCTTGCCAGAATCAGTCTAGTAGCTTAGCTTTCCTTCTAACGTTTTCTGTTTCTGTGGTACTACGCGGGCGTATCAGTCACACATTTGTCATCACTGTAAGCCCATGCATGGCGTGTATGTCAAGTATGATTTGTCTAAAATTTTCCCGTAGGATTGCTGGCTTGGTGATTGATTTATATGCTCTCGTTAAGTACTCAGTAGGCCTGCTGCCGTCCCTTTCTACGTACGCTGATCCGTTTCATCCCAAAATAGCGTCATTCAGCGTCGTCATCCTCTTGTTTTAGAACCTGATGCGATTAAAATCTCTGGCTTACGAGCGGCGCGTGCTGGAGTTGCTAGGAAATAGGAGCTCGCTCCGGCAGTTGTTTGAATTGTCCTCTGCCCTTGTCGCAATTAGATGCCTTCTTGTCATTCTCTGGCCGCCGCGGCTCTGAGAGGATTACCCCGTTATGTTTGGGGATGTTTTACCCCCGAAACCACACCAGCGGAGAAAAAGATATAATCCGACCCACAAATATTTCCCACTTCAGTCCCACAACAAGGACCCACGCTCCACGCCACTTAAAGAACGGCCGGTCCTGCGATAACACTGCCCGGACAGGTCGCCGACACCTGACTTCATCCGACAGTTCCTTCTCCCCCTCCCTCCATCCTTACTCTGGCATAACCGGTGTGTGTTCGCGTGCCTTGTGATAATCTAGTTTTGACGTCCGCTGACTATTTTCCGAGTCATAACTGGGTGAGTATCAGTTTATTTAGTCTTATCTTTGTTGACCAAGTCGGCTCCGGGTCCGTGCAAGACTTTGCAAACTATGTTGGAGGCATGCGCACTAAAAAAACGCTAAGAGTAAGAGGAAAAACTGCCATGTAACTGCAATGGAAGATGGCTGTATTTTCAAGCCAGATCGGGGTACATTGCATCATCCTATGCTGATCAGTGTGTATTTTTATACCACTGTATCTCAAAAACAGTACCAGTTACATGATTGAAACATACATGGTATGTAATACCAATAGGTCTCTCTACTAATAGATTTTGTACCTCACATTTTAGCAGTGAAATCCAATTATCTTATCAAGTACCATTGTACTCAAGTCACCGAAATGGTGGAAACTTTTGTGTCAATGCTGAAGATAGCATGAGATATGCTGAGCACTTAAACACATAAATTTGCATATTAATTAACCTAATCCTATTTTCTGTATAAGTCCAGATTGTCGAATGATACCAACGTCATACTGAGGCATTAGCTGTCTTAAGCCCGGGACAAAAACATTTGACATTCTAACTCATGTACATAAATGTGTGACGGAGTTTTTTCTCAAATACATGAATATTATCTATTTATAGAATACATGTTTGTAAACATGTGAGTCATGGCATATATAATATTTGCATACATTTCGATATGAAATTCGCTGACGACGTTTTTTTATGACGTGCGTGTGCATAACTTCTTATCTCGTGAAATGGGGCCAAGGCTAGACAAAGTATTTATTCACTGCAGCTAGCTAGTTTGCGCACAAGATACGACGTACTGCATACACACTTCACGCTACATACCACCAGGATTTCCCGACCAGATCTGTCGGAGAATGCGAACCGCGAAAAGCAGAACAGTAACCGTCCGATGCCGGAGTATTTGTATCCAGGGAGAGAGATCCCCGGTATGCATTTGATGTTGGGGGACGTGGTTTGAACAGGTGCGGCTGAAGGTGCTCGGGGTGATCCCGGATCGGACCACGACGGGGAAACTTACCGGAAAAAACGGATTTCACTTGTGGAGAGGAGAGATGCTGCTGGCTGGAGGTTACTGGTACAGTATGGCTCTCGGCGGTGCCTGTTTTGGGAATGTGGGGGGAAGTTTCTGCGCTGAAGCCCGCAAGGCGAGCGTTTCTTCCGGCGTGAGACCACCTGTCGCCTGCCCTAGAACTTGCCGCTACACCGATAGTCCTCCCTCCAGTCACTCATGTACCTCAGCTCTTTCCAACCTGCTAGAACCATTTCTGTTCAAATTTTGGGCGCGAACTACTTCGGTTGTTAAATCGGGTCATTGCCCTCAAGCTGATACCAACATCTTTTCATTCGCATTATAATCGTTAATATCAATCAAACTTGTCGTAATGAAAACATTAGCTTGGTATGAAACAACCAGTCATTTGGTAGATTGGTAATGTCGTTTAAGGAGGTTAAAGATCTATGTAACCAGTAAAAGCAACAAGATTTTTTAATCTTCTTGCCTTTGGTTTATCATGACATACACAAGGTAGCACTTAGCTTCCCGTGGTCACACAGAGAATATCCCGGCCCCAAGCCCTGACCAGCCCTACCGGATGGCTCTGATCACTGTTAGGCGTTCGGTGGTAGATCCGATGGCGAGATATGACTATTTATTAAGCCCCAAGATCGCTTACAAATTGGTGCAAGGTATAACCGTGCCTCCGACGTGTAGTTGTCGATCCTACTTTACAGCTCAGCACGAGAACGGGCCGCATCTGGGTTACATTACCCGCCCGACTCTCCGACCATCTGCTGCGGCTCAAGCCCGGCCGCAGTAGCCGGTGGACATCATCCCCCGTAATGATGATGAATCTGAAGTCAATAGCTACTGTTGTTTAGAATACGGCAGGGCGGTGGTTTCTTTTTCTTCGCGGGGGGGGGGGGGAGTCCTGCAACAACAAGAGAGCAAGCCGCCCTGTGACACGTGCTTGATGTGCCTGTACTCTGCGCTGATATTGTACTTGCTACATTACCTGGTGTTCAGAACATTCTTCATCTAAACTATCTCACGTTTTCCCAAGGCCAAACGTGGTCCTTTACATTACTACCGTACATTTTGTGTTAACGACATAACAAGATGAGATGATGTGATGAGATTAAGATATTATCACCATGAGAGTCGTAAATTTCGAGGATAGTTTGTTTTACGACCGCCGAGGGGCGGCGTGTTACAAACCCTGTACCTTCTTTTCCCGTGTCGGTATAAAAAAGTGACTGGAATTCAACGTGAAGGCTGGTGGGAATGTCGGCTCGTAAAGAAGAGCCTTCTGATAGCTGCGATGTCACCGCAATGAATTTCTGGGAGAAAGGAATCTACATACACTTCATTGACGTCACGGTGATCGGATAGAATACACAAACTCTGGGCTCCTCTCTCCGAGGTCGATGAAGGACGCAGCGCGCAAGATCAGCCGGATACTCTGCCGTGTGTGGCCGGGAAAAGCAAGGACGGCGCGTAAGAGACATTCCGCAGCAGTCCCGCCGCCCAATCCCGCATGCAGTAGCTGTGGACTTCCCGCCGGCTTGTCCTCTGTTGTCTCTGCTCGCCACATCAAAAAAAAGCCGAGGTTTCCCCGGGACAGGGCCAGGAGGGTGGAGAACGGCCACCCAGGCAAGGACCTTCGCTCGCACCTGACGGGGAAGCGACGGGAGAGAGGCTGACCATCGGACCGTTAGCGCTGCTGGACCATTCTGCCCTGGGCTCAGCTGGCTAAACCAAGACCAGGCGAACGGATTAGGAACACAAAGAGAACAGTGAGTCGCCGTGATTGTGACGGTTTGTCCGGGCACATGTGTAGGCCAGCCGAGCCGACCGTCTACAAAAGGAGCCGACGGCGACAGGAGTGGTGCTCAGATGTGGAAACCTCCGCCTAGAAGGAAAGGCCGCTTTCTTTGGAATTTCTCAACTCGTGAGAGCCAATTTTGTCGTCCGGCATTGCAACTTTTTGCTCTGAGACATTTTGGGGGACGAGTATGCTACATGGACGACACCGTGGGCGTAGCTTATATAAGCGACTGAGTTGTTGTATGTAACGGACTACTGCCTGCCGCCCCCATCTTCACAAACAGGCCAGGAACGTCCCGCTAAAACGCACAGGTAAACCCTGATTGCATTCTTCGCACGTCTCCAGGGCAACTCGATCCTGACTTGTACGGGCCCATCTCCATAATTAATACGACACAATCACATAGGTGTGGGGTTTGATCCTTCTGAAGGCGCAGTGTTGGGGCCAGCCGGGGTCTGACTGACGAGAGACAATGTCGTGTTGCGGGCGAACACCCGGATAACCTCTTCCTCCCGGAGAGTTCCTGCGGACATTTCAGTCGGAGGAGGTTCATACGACGCCGTGTAACGTTACACCGCCAGGTACGTGAAACATTCTGCCTGCCACATTCTACACGGAGGTGCAGTTTCCGTGGGTCTTGTTTGTCCTCCTTCCCAGATAATTAGCCCGTGTGTCCCGTGAAGATACATTCACAATGTCGTTCCATATGACGACTTGTACCAAAGCATTATCAACAGGCATGACATACTGGTATTGTACGCACGCGAGCCCAAAACACGCCACTAGACTTGGTTAATATAATGTACGTAAGTTATGTGTATACGTTTATGTCAGGGCACTGTCTGAATACGATAAGCAAAGGAAGAGGCAGGTCGCAAGAGAAGTCCCTCGGGCTATGCTACGATGATTGACAGCTCACTTGCACGACACACGATGTGTCGTGCTGAGAGAGTTTCTGCTTGAACCTGAGTCGTGATGTCTGACATGGTCGTTTGTTTGTCATATGGAACTGGAACTGACAAGTTGTGCGTCCCGTTTTTGATCCGCCCGGACGCGTCCCTCTAGCCGGTGGGCATTCCTGGCGTTTCATCCAGCAACCTTGCCCTGGCGCGCTGGTGGTCTATGCCGAGATTTAACTCAAAATGTTACCAGCTTCATCAAATGCATGATTCCTACCCTTTCTGTTTGTAATATCGTTTCCCCTAGGAGATTACAGAAGACGCCGTGCTACCAGAAGAGGCTATACACCTACTGTCACCTCATTTCTGACCAGGACAGTCTGGTCCTTACTTCTTGCTCATTTGATATCTAAAGACATTCGTATCATCGTATGCCGTCGTGTTCAGGGCAAGTTTTGTCAACATTCACTGCATTCTACAAGCAACACCGTTTGACACTGTAAGAATGTGGTCTTCACAGAAATATGCGTCATTCACAGTGATCGGTTGACCCGTTTCTCCATCGTGGCGGGCGCCATTTTTAGCACACCTGGACCCCCCCCCCTCACCCCATTCCTCAGGTCCCGCTCAGGGTCCCGCTAATTGGACGGATCTCTGGGAACAAAGATGGTCCCGCTCTTTTTGTTCCCTGATTGTCTGCGTTCCCATGGATCTGGCAGCTGGCAATTTCATCCCGGGGCCTGCAGCAAAAGTAGTTACCGCGTAACGAAGTTCGCCCGGCAGCGCGCCAGTGATTCACCCAGTCTTCGCTCGTTTCCTCCCGGCCATGCTGTAAACAAAAGCCGCAGGGAGGAACCAGACCTCACGGACAGTTCTTAGCGCCCTCTAGTATCTCTCCTGCTAATGGCGCTGGGAGAAGGTGATACCGTTCTCCCTCAGACCCCCCTCAAACTCATAAAGCCCCCCCTCCCCGATCCAGATGGTTTTTGCACTCAGGAAAAAGTAACGACTTTGCAAAGTACGGACGAACCAAAGAGTGATAAATAAAATCTGTATAGCTGAGCGGTTTGAAACTTCAGACGCACCTAGATATTGCTTTTCAACGATAAGCATGGTTAAGGAGAGGATTTGAACTAGTTCTGGCCACAAGGAATTCCTCTTATCGCTCACTACATAGCTACAGCCACAGGAGTGTGATAGCTAGCCCTGTGCTGTAGATCTCTGGTTATTTGGAATAACTGCGCGCTGAACTATCAACATGTTTTCTCGAATCTAATTGTTCACAAATAACGTAAACTTAAAGTTGACAAATACGGACGCAGTGTGCGGTGCATGTGTGAGGCGTGTAGAGCAGTGCTCAAATTTCTTTTGGCCTTTTACCTGGGTACCTTCTCAACCTTCGGGAGCCAGAATCTTCTCTCCCTGCCACGCTATGTGCACCTACGGAATTTATCTATTGGTAAAGTAAAACGAACTCTCTGGGAACGAGATCTGCTGAGTAACTGTGCGGCTAATGTCCTCCTAACAGTCGTGAGACAGCCTGGAAACTACTGTGGGTAATCTTCGTTAAAATACCTTCTTTCCGTACGTGCTTTTCAAAGCTTCTGTAACCACCTATAGACACAGGCGAGGTGCAGCCCCTCTAAAGCCTTTTCAGGCTTTGCGTTTTAGGTGTCTAGAATAGTGTATTGAATGGCCCAATCCCTCTCGAGGACGTGGACTTTGGGGTAATGCTAACGGGAGGCACGTCTCTTTGTTGGGGTACTTTCACTCCTGCACGAGTATTTTCCTGTAATCCACAAGAAGCCATTCCCAAGCTTACGCTGTACCCTCATTCTTCCCCAACCGTTCTTGCTGCTTTTCTATTCCCACAGACCCGTATGGTCTTTGACATGTTTCTTGTACAAGCGGTAAAACTGCTCTGAAGAGGAATGTTTCGTGACTTTCGGGCTCGTCTGGAAGCAAAGGCGTCTTTGTTTTTAGGATTAGATGATGCATTATGGGTAAAATCCTCTCTTCCAGAGGAAAAAGAGGATTCAATGAGGGATGAGCGGCCGAAAAATTGTTTGTTTTCCGAGCAGACTTCGGGAAAAGGGCCGCAGCGACGGCAAGATGTGAGTCTTCTCTGTACGGTCAGTCATTCGTCTTTCTGTGTCTGTGCGATCAGTCATTCGCCGATCAGTCATTCATGTCGCCGTAACTCTATTTGATGACAGCACCATCTCAGTGTGAAAATGAATTTTCCATGGCGCAGTTTGAAGTCGGAAGGAAAGTCTAAAGCAGCAGTGATGTCTGGTGACAGGCCGACGAAAGTTGCCGATGGATTTGTTTTGATTATTCATAACTCCCTACTGCACGGATGTCATCACACAGTTGCTTTTCGATAAGGCGCGACGAGATGGACATGAATATTTACTTTATTCATGAAGGTAACACGTTACCACCTTGCCCACCCCCTTCGTCGTTCTGTCAACAGGCATCAACGTCTTACCAAACTAAGATAGCTAATCAAATGCTTTTGAATCATCATGAAACTGTCAGTACTGTTCATAGACCCATCCCATCTATCATCAGTTCTTCTATCTATCATGCGCACTGTTACCGAAGTGGGGTTAATTGTTTTGTTTTGTTGTAAGCCAGAGAAAAGCGTGTGTTGCACAAGAAATGTAACGCGGTCCGCCAACTCTAAGTTGTTAAATCGCGCCCAAAATCGTTTCTCTCCGGCCGTGAGAACCAAAACAATCGGTATCCCCGAAGGCAGTGTCTGTGGTAAGTGGCTTTCCCTGCCCCGTAATAGTTCGTGTGATATTTCCAAGGCTGAAAAGGCCCGGGGTCGCCTATTGTAGGGGCTGTATAGCGGACGTCAGCACTGAGATCCGTATGGGTGTAGACGTAATTGTGAGCGACAGCATTACAGTGTAGAAAAAGTGGCAATTTTATTGTTTGCGCAAATCTAGCGTAATGTGTCCTCAGGCATCGGCCTTTAGCGTTGAATCGAGCGGCGCTGTTCTCACGAAAAGTTTCCTGTGCGCGGCGTTTATGTCGAGCAGTGTTTTGGAAGTGATTCAGTGGGGAGGGGGACATAATAGAGGCACGGGGTGACCCGCGTGGAGTTTTTCCGCGCTTCAGGCCTGCTGATGGTCCTCGCTAGTAGAGATGTCTACAATCCACAGAAGGAGGCCAGACGCGCTTCACAGTTTACTCAGGCAAGTGGAGGGGCACTCTATTATCACCTAGGTGCGAATATGGGGTGTCGTAAGCCTCCTTGCGAGACGGCCTGCTGAAACTCACCGCCCCATCGTTACACTCTACCGCCCCCAGCCACCCGGCTCCCGACCGCATAAATCAGCAATCAACACGAACATTGAAAACGTCACTGGAAATTATTAAGTATCTAGTCGGGTGGAACCGGTGGATTCGTGGGGTAAATCGTCCCCCGAGGCGCTGCTTGCGTCCGCGAGATGGCAAATTACCTGTCGGTTTGACAGCTACAAGTGACGGGGAGACAAGATAAAAAGTGGCTCTGCTGCACGTCAGGTCGGCAGTCGGCTACCTGCGTCCCCTCGGCTCCACACGTCCGGCGGCGCCGTGCGCGCTCTCTCGGTAAGTCCGCCCAGGTGTGTTTCGCGCCGCTACGCGTGCTGGGCCTCGCTCAGGTGTGTGGTCTAACAACATACACCGGGGTTCAGCGTACCTGCTTTGCGTGTGTGTGTGCGCCTCCTGGCATGGGTCTGTGACTCACGTCTGGTTTTTAGACATTGACTTCGGGGCTTGGGTGTCCAATGGACCGAGCCGAGCACGGCCCAGCCGCCCGTCGGTGCAACACTCTGTCTCCCCTCGCCCTCAAACTAGTCTGTAGCAAGTGTTCTAGCTACCAACCTGGCTATTTATTGCCCTATACACTGAAATATACGGACTGGGCTGGATATTGTGAGGGAACTATCTAGGTTATGGTTTGTTTTGGTGCTCAGTGGCATACGGTTACACAAGGTAAGGGGGTCAGCCTGGCCGGCGTTGTCAACTTGGTCCGACATGTGGACTACGGCAGATCTATACTGACTGGTAGGACTTTATAATACGCGGGAGGAACCGTTTATCCCATAAAACATTAGCACACAAATTACTCGGCCTCGATTTTCAGTAGGGGACCTCGCGGTGGATTGTTTATGTTTCCCCCGTGACAGACAGCGTCGGGGCGATTTTAGTATCAATAACGCATGAGCGACATAAATCACACTTCTGCACAGTAGCCGCGACCAAAACAAACTCCACAAACCTGTCACTCGCCACATTACTGGGCAATGTTTGCTGTTCTCATTATGACGCTTCTGTTGTTTTTTAAGAACATTACTACAGTGTGCATAGGACTGTCATGTGTGCGTGTGTGTACGAATGTACACCAGACGGGGGCACGTTGTCGTCAATTTATGACCTGTCCGCCTCTCCGGTCTTTGGCACTTAGTCGCTAACACCGCGTATGCATTATTTAATGAACTTGCATGATGTACTCCCCCTGCCCAGGAGTATAAATACCATGCACGCCCCGTTGTTGCTTCAATAGTGTGTTTGGAGTCCGGGAGACGGTGACCTCTGTCGTCTGCACGTGTGTCAGTCAAACCCTGTACGTGGCCGGACTTGCGAAAGGTAGGACTCACCGTACGATCCTTAGTCACTGATCCCGG